CCCGCCGTAGCCGCTCGGCGTTGGCTGGCGATAGCGACGACGCGCCCGCCGGCGTCTCGGACGACAGGCTACCCGACGGCGACGCCGACCACACCGTGTCGGGCGTGGCCGGGAAGGGAAAGCTCAGATTCGCCTTGACGCAGTCGGCGATCGACGTCCTATCGCCGCGCAGCGTGTTGGCCCACTGATGGATCGCCACCACGTCCTTGGGCCACGTGAGCCTCGCGCCGCCCACGTAGCCTGCCGTGACGGCAGCAATCGACAGCCGCAGCGGCGGATTGGTGTCGACGCTGTCCAGCAGATACGGCACGAGCTGGCGGAAGAGCGTGGACGCCTCGAGACCGCGCACGTCGCACCCCTGTGTCCAGCATGTGATGAGCGTGCTGTAGTAGCCGATAAGGCTCTCCATGACGAGCTTCGACTTGGCGCTCGCCTGGCTGGCGCCGTTGGCGTCGGGCGGGGCGTGCGGTGCGGGCGAGTGCGGACGCGACGCCATGGGCGTCGACAGGCTCGGCATGGGTTGCACCTGCACCAGATCCGCATCCATCGCGGCGAGCTGCGCCGGATCCGGCTGCATCAGCCGGTTCGCCACCGCGCTGCACGACGCGCACAGATGGCGGCCCGAGAAGAGACAGTCGCCCACGATCTCGCACGCCACGTACGACGAAGCGGCGTAGAACGCCGAGGTGGCCGCTGGTGGCGGTCGTATTGGCTCGTGATCGTGTGCAGATCGAAGTGGTGAGCGTGATGCCGGCGGCAACATGGTCGAGGGATGCACAAATCCCGAAAACGTCGAGGGCGGTGATGTGGGCGTGCCGTTCTTGTACGGAATGGGCGGCTTGGCATCGGCTTTCGTCGTTGTCGTGGACGGCGCTGGTGCAAGGCCGTTGACCATGGGCCAGGCAGCCGTGCTGGTCGCGAGGCCTGCAAACTGGGCGAGCGAGTTGGGCATAGCCATCCCATCCGCCTGGCGTGCCTCGTGCTCAAAGTCAGCCAACTGGCTCGTGGACGAGGCGGGCTCGGTCTTTACGCGCGGATTCGAGTCGTCGGGAGACCGGATCTTGATGCGTTTGGTCTTGGCGGTGGTTGTGGTGGTGCCGGGCTCAAAGGTGACGGGCGCACGGCGGAAGCCCTCGCAGCGATAGCCGGCGTTGCGACAGCGCCAGCAGCCGCCGGTCTCTTCGCACAGCGTCTCGTCGCACTTTTTCTTTCGCTTGCGGCAGGTGAGGCAGCCGGAGCGCGATCGCTTGCCCGCGAGCGGCACGGCTGCTGTTCCGGCGCCGCTTCCGGACGGCTGTGGAGCCTCTGCACAGTCGGCGACATCAGAGCCGGGGTCGGTGTGGTCAGCCCTGTGGCCGGCGGAGCGTGGCGTGGTAGTTGCTGGCGTGCGGCCCTGTGATGGAGAGGTGGTGTGGTGCGAGCTGCTCGAGCCCGGAGTGGGCGCATCGTCGCCGCGTACGTCCATATTCGCGGCGCCCGAAGATGTCGACTGGGTTTGCGAATTACGTTGATCGTCGCCGTACAGTGCGTGACCGTCTGACGGCGACATGTGGTGAATTGCGAGGTGGGAGTTGGCCTTTCAGCGATTGAGATCAGGAGTTGGGCTTGCAGGTATGATTCGTCGCGGCTGCTGACGCCATGACGCTGATGCAGGGTGGCGGACTTGCGGCGTGAGATCACGACGAGCGACGGCAAGCAACGCGGATGAGGGCGTTGTTGGCAACCGGTCAAGTGGGCGCGGTTCACTTCATCGCCAAGAACGGCTGGGTGGGTATGAGACGCCGGCGGGCGGGGCAGATGGTGGACGGATGGCCTCGAGGGGGCACTGCGCGGAGACCTTCGGTGGTCGAGCGTATGGATGAGCAAGGGGCGATGCGAGGTCGGCGGCTCCGATCGGGATGATCGTGATTGAGCTGGAAATCGATGGGAGCTATTGTCGCTTGGATGGCGTCGAGTGTCTGCCGCAGCCACAGCCGAACTGGAACAGCTGGCGTGAGGCGATCAGGAGAGAAAAGGATGACTCAAGCTCCAGACTTGTGGTGGCGACCAGGCAAGGAAGAATCGGCAGAGCTCCGAAGGCTGTGGTCTGAGCTTGACGAGCGTGGGCTCGCATCGGCCGGTGAAATGCGCGGCGGCAGGAATCCGACAGGAATCCGAAGCCGCTGCTGCATCGCTTCCGATGGCTCCGATCCCCCTCGCTCTTCTCCCTCTCTCGGCCACTGGTTGCTGAGATTCTGCAGCGCCTCATCGCATTCATCGCCATGCGGCCATTCCGATGCAGGTCTCTTGGATCGGAACCTCCGCTGCGGTGTCTTATCGGTCCAATGCCGATAATCCCACTCAGCAGCAGCATTCACCCGCTCCTCAACTCCACGCCCTCCTTTTTCCTGCGATCACACACGTCCTCTGTCTGCGGATGGAAGAGTGGCTTGCTGGTGGCGCTTGTGATTGCAGCGGATGCACGGCAGAAGCAAAATCCTCGGCGGGCCGAGTTGGCGGTGCAGTGCAAGTCGTGCCTGAGCTCTATCCTATCTTCCCGCGCCAAGGCTGCCTGCCAAAGGGTGCATTGGGAGGGAGCCGCGCCTCTCAGGGTCTGGCCTTCTTTTTTTCTTTCCCCACAAACACGCGTCTCGCATGGCAGGCCGCGCTATCTCGAGCGGGGCTCGGGCCAGCGCGGTTGGCGCGATTAGCGCGGCAAGCGCGGCAAGCGCGTCTAATTCCCTCGAGCGGCACACGGGCCATTCCCTCGAGCGACGGTATCGGTGGCACTAGCTGCTGCCTATCGTGCCGTGCTCAGGGCTAAAGGACCGGCCCGCCGGTGGCTCGGATAGGCGAGCGAGGAGGAATGCCCGCACAGACGAGCGCGCGAGGATGCGACGGCACGGACTGGCGCTTGGATGCAGCAGCGAGAGGGCGCTGCCATAAGTACCCAGCCGTGGGCCCACATCGACCCCGAAGATCTCCTCTACACCGGCTCTCTCTCTCTCTCGTGCTGACAGCCACCCTTCCTCTCGACGCAACACCTGGCTCTGACAATCCGCCATGGCCATCGCAGAGACGCTCAAGATCGCGTCGCCCTCGGGCAAGACGCTGTCGGTGCCCACGGGTCTTTTGATCGACAACCAATTCGTGCCTGCCATCGATGGCGGCGAGCTCGAGACGATCAACCCTGCCACGGGCAAGTCACTGGGCAGTGTCTCCGCTGCCTCCGTAAAGGACGTGGACCGCGCGGTCGCCGCCGCACGCAAGGCATTCAACACCACCTGGGGTCGCAACAGCTCGCCCGGCCAGCGCGCCGCAGTGCTCTTCAAGCTCGCCGAGCTGATGGAGCAGCATGCCGAGGAGCTGAGTGAGCTCGAGTCGCTGGACAACGGCAAGCCTCGCTGGATTGCCGAAACCATGGACATTGCCGACACTGCCGGTTGCTTCCGCTACTACGCCGGTCTGGCCGACAAGATCGAGGGCAAGACGATCGAGCAGAAGGAAGGCGAGAAGCTGGCCTTCACGCGGCTGGAGCCGCTCGGCGTGTGTGGTCAGATCATCCCGTGGAACTACCCCATCGGTATGCTCGGCTGGAAGGTAGCCCCCGCTTTGGCGGCGGGTAACTGCGTCGTGCTCAAGCCCGCCGAACAGACCCCGCTCTCGGCGCTGCGAATCGCCCAACTCGCCGTCGAGGCCGGTCTGCCCGCCGGTGTGCTCAACGTCGTAAATGGCCTCGGCCCCATCGTGGGTGATGCCATCACGGGCCACATGGATGTGGACAAGGTGGCCTTTACCGGCTCCACCGCCATCGGCAAGCGCGTCATGGAACGCGCCGCACGCAGCAACCTGAAAAAGGTCACGCTCGAGCTCGGAGGCAAGTCGCCCGTGGTGGTGTTTGAAGATGCCGACATCGACCAAGCTGTCAACTGGGCCGCTCTCGGAATCCTCTTCAACCAGGGCCAGGACTGCACCGCCGGCTCGCGTCTCTTCGTCCAGGAGAGCATCTACGACACCTTTGTCCCCAAGCTCGTCGAGGCCTTCCGTCAGCACGCCATCGGAGACCCCTTTGACAACAAGACGTTCCAGGGCCCGCAGATCACCGAGCGCCACCAGCAGCGCATTCTCGACTACATCGAGTCGGGTAAGCAGGAGGGCGCCAAGGTCGAGATCGGTGGTGGAAAGTGGACCGAAGGCGCAGGCGAGTTCGCCAATGGGTTCTACGTTCAGCCCACTATCTTCTCTGGGTGCAAGAAGGGTATGAAGATCGTCGACGAGGAGATCTTTGGCCCTGTGATGGCAGTCGCCAAGTTCAAGACGGAAGAGGAGGCTATTCGCCTCGCCAACGACACCTCGTACGGTCTCGGAGCGGGCGTCTTCTCCCAGAACGCTTCCCGGTGCATGCGAGTGTCGAGCGCTATCCAGGCTGGTACCGTATGGTGCAATTGCTTCACGGTCTTAAGCAACGCTGTGCCCTTTGGTGGATACAAAGCGTCCGGTATCGGAAGGGAGCTGGGTGTCGATGCGATCAAGGAGTACACGCAGGTCAAGTCGATACACTGGAACTACGGCGAGTCGCTCGACTGGCCGCTGACGGGTTGAAACTCCGCTGCGCAAAATTCCACCACATCCGCACCCCGCGCGTCGTGTAAAATGGCAATTCGAGTTCTTCCATTTGTGTCTAGTCGTGATCGTTCGTGTGGATGTGGCGGGTTACAAGTCTGACCAATTGATGGTTCCATCGGGACCATAGCGTTGAGCGAGCCAGTCGTTGGCCTTTTTAAAGTGGCCGTTACCCAGGAATCCTCTGTGTGCCGATAACGGTGATGGATGTGCGGACTTTAGGATGAGTACGTTGGGCGACTTGTCGTTCACACCTGCCTCCGCGAGCGTCTTGGCTGCAGGAGCGCCCCATACCAAAAACACAACACCCCTGCACTGTTCCTCTGCGTCACCTTGCACGGGTTGGACTGGCTTTGATTCGGGCTTTGGATTCGACTGGGCCTTTGCAAACATTGTCGCGATGGTCGATGTGGCGACCGCATTGGCGCTTGCCGCTTTGGCCGCCCGCGACTTTGCCGCCTCGTCGGCAATGCGTTTGAGGATATGCTTCGTAAGACCCTCCCAGCCTTTACCGTGGTGGGAAGCAGCAGCGCCCGCAGAAACGGTAAGACATGCGTTGAGCAACAACACGCCTTGACGTGCCCAGCCCTCAAGGCAACCGTGGTTAGGCGCGTGGAAGGAAGGATACTCGGCAGCGAGCTCCTTGTAGATGTTTTTGAGGGAGGGAGGGGTACGCACACCCTTGGGCACGGAGAACGACAGCCCACAGGCTTGATCCGGCCCGTGATAGGGATCTTGGCCGACAACGACGACGCGCACGTGCCGGGGAGAGGGGACAAGACGAGACCACGAGTAGATTAGCTCGCGAGGCGGGTACGTCGTTTTGCCCGCACGGTCTTGTGCGGCGAGGAACGACTTGAGCGTCGCAAAGTACGGCTTGTCCATCTCGGGACGAAGTATGTCGAACCAGGACGGCGACATGGTCTGGCGCTCCAGCCACAGCGGATCGGAATCGTCCGCAGGAGGTTGCACTTTGGGCAGCGCGGGTGTTGCGGGTGTCGCGGCGGGTGCTGCTTTGGACGGCGTGAGCAGGGTGGTCTGCCGCATCGAAGTGTGTGGCGTGGCTATTGCCGTAGTGATCTTGCCTGCTGGACTTGCTGGCGGTGAGGAGTGGTTCGCACCGCTGGTGGGTGGTACGGACTGCGACGACGACGGCGCCGGCTGGGAGGATGCGGCGGACTCGGCCTCTAGTGCAGCGGCGAGCAGCGCGTCGTCGTCAACATCGTCCGAATCGAACTCGTCCCTGTCCGTCCTGGCCCGTTTGACGCTGGTGTGGTCGATGCTGTTGTCGCTCGACGCGAGCGTGTTGGCGTCCCGCTTCGCGAGCGATGTACGTGTGGTCATGGTGCGCGTGAAGAGCGGCGGAAGAAAGCACGATGAAGCTACAGCAGCTGACCTGTGCGCCACAGCTGCACGGAAGGTGAAGGAAAGAAGGGCGCGAATGGTGGCTGTGAAGCAAGCTGGTGCGTTGGTCGTGGTGGTGGTGAGGTGCAGAAGAGGATCGGTGGAGCGCTCCAACCTCCACCTCACAGCTTCAACTGCGCAAGAAAAGAAGACGCGCTCTGATCCGGCACTCTAATCAACGCGTCTGCCAACCAACACCTCCGAGTTCCGAGTCGAGCCCCCTTTTTTTTTGGCCCCAATTCCTCGCTGCATTTCGACATTTCTCCCTTGCTCCTTCATCCTGACCTCCAACAGCCCGATCGGATCGCCCCATCATGACTCTGACTTCATCCACCTCCATCCCCCCAGCATCGCTCACGGGCGAAACGCCGCAGTACCTCATCTTCTTCAGCTCGGGCAATCCACCCTGGTGTCCCGACTGCGTCGACGCTCAACCCGCCATCAACCACGTCTTTGGCACGTCCGCAGACGCCCACCTCGTCCTCGTCGACAGACCAGACTGGAAATCGCCCGACAACATCTTCCGCACCCAGTGTGGCATCAAGTGCATCCCCACCATCACCAAGATGATCAACGTGAGTGCGAACCCATCTGCCCCCCGTAAATGTAGTGTGGGGTGCTTATCAGTCAATTGGCGGTTGGCAGGGCAAAGAGGTGGCTCGGATCGAGGATGCCGAGTGCAAGACCATCGACAGCGTCGCCAAGTTCATCCAGTAATCATCACTCAATGCGAATATGGAACGAGTACAATTACAATGCGGATGAGTCGGCTCGAAGCTATGTACAAATGGGTCAGGCGCCAAGGGATCACTTGAAGAAGCCGCCGAAGCCGCCCTGGTTTCCACCGTGACCGCCGTGATGGCCGCCGTAGGGATTGTTGTGGTTCTTCTTGTCGTCGAACTTTTCGAAGACCTTCTTGCCCACCTGGGCGAGGATGGCGCCGCTGGCCATGGAGCTGAACCCGCCCATGTGGCCGCCGGTCATCTTGTTGCCCGCCCAGCCCGCTGCGGCACCGGCAGCCATGGTGCCCAGACCACGCTCGCCGTCGATCGGGTTGCCGTTCTGGTCGTACTGCATGGGACCCTGCTGCTGCGGCGCGTGGGAGTAGGAAGGCGAGGGCGATCCGTAGCCCGAGTTGTACTGCGGCTGCGAGTTGTACTGCGGCTGCGAGTTGTATTGGGGCTGCGAGTGGTCTCCACTAGGTCCGCCGGGGTACGACGACGAAGAAAGTGGGTCGCCAGGGTACGACGATTGCGAGCCACCGTAGGAAGGCTGCGAGCCGGGATAGGGCGATTGCGGTCCGCCCGGGTACGATGATTGAGGGCCGCCGGGATACGACGACTGGGGTGCGCCAGGATAGTACGACATTGCGAATCGAGTACGAGTTGAGTGTTGAAGAGGTGTCTGGGATTGGAGTGTGATGGTGGGATGCGGTGGTGGGGTGTGGAGTCGGAATACAGGGCCGCTACTTATGGGTGCTGCTGCTCGCTGCAGCGTTGAGTCAGAAAGGGACCCTTGGACCCACCAACAACCAAAGCCAGCCCGAGCAGAGAGCCGAACGAGCTTCCGAAGCCACAGCCCTGCAATCGAGCCGGTGAGGCGGGGGAGGGCCGTGCCCTGCGAGACAGCACAGCTTGCGGTGGCGGGAACAAGGCTGTGTGGGCTGTGTAAGCGCGGCTGGGCTGTGCGCGCGGGCCCTGCCGAGGCTCGACAATTCTGCGCGCGTCCACCTAGGGCAGTGCAGGCACGATGACGCCGCCTCAGACTTCAGTCTCGGCAGCCGTCTAAAAGCTTGGCAGCAGCGCATTTTCGAGGTTGCCAAATGTCAGAACAGTAGCTGTAACAATTGTTTTTGCACGCTAGTCTAACAGCGTGAGAATTGGCGCGTCGGGAGTGCGGCTTCCCGCGATTTCTCCCCGCCGCAGCTTTTTCAAATGGTCGATTTTAAAGCTCGAGAAAAGGTCGGCTGCAGGCGCACGTCTAACTGTGCCGATCCCGCGTCTCGTCATTGGACCATGACCTCAAGCCCACTCCTTCCCTTCCTCACCCCCCTGCATGCTGCATAGCCTGCACTTGCACCTGCTATTCATAACGGATCGAACTGCACTTGACTGTAAGCAAAAAGGCTCCATAGCTCAGTTGGTTAGAGCGTAGCACTGTTACTCTCGTTGACGGTCACAGGCAACCAGCACCAAGCTGCAGTCCTGGTGATCATACACACATCCTCATCCCGCCTCGTCTCAGAGCAAGGGCAACGGAAGTGATGCTGAGGTCGGCGGTTCGAGCCCGCCTGGGGTCGCTCTTTTTTACCCTTTTGATGCCCCGACCCTTCTGATACAGCGTAAGATGATGGCGAGTGGATGTCGTCACATTCGCTTCAAGTAGAAAAAAGTGTCTGCAAAAGCGGTTGGGCTGTCCAGAGCCTGTTCCTTGGGCAGGCGTGGGTTCGACCCGATTTCGCATCGCCGATTCGAGCGTGCCATCGGCTC